AGCCAGCACGCAAAGCCAAAACCGAGTGCAAGGACAAAGTTTAACAACTTAACTGGTATTCCAAAGATACAGATACACTGGCGCAATCAAATTACCAAACTAATCGCATGCAAAGCGAACAAGTTGAATGTGTCTATGTGGGGATTACGTTGGTGGGAGTTCAGTGGTGGCTCAGTGGTGGCAAAGTGAAATGGAAAATGGAAAATGGAAAATGGCTGGGGGAAAATGAGAAAACTGGGGGACTTGGTGCAGTTTAAGGCGTTATGCAAAACAACTGCAATGCGTGCGTGTGGCAAAAAGTTTTCTGCAAAAGTGGGGGAGCTAACTGACGTACTGACTGATGGCGGGAGAGGAGCAAAGAGCCCAGAGCCCATGTGTTGTTCGAAAAGGATACCGAGGGAACTTGGGTCGACAGGCGACAGGAAGTGCGCAAAATGCCACAACTTACGACCGCATTGTGCTGCCAATGTGCTAAGCAGTTCAGACCTCTTAAGCTATCTCTTTCTTTCTCTCTTTTTTTTGATTTCCTTGCGTTTGTTACGCCGTTTGGCCAACAACTATTAAAGTTGTTGCATGTTTGGAGCTTGTAAACAAGCTTGTCGCTTCGGCCTATAAAGTAACAAAATATTATTAAATTAAAACTGAGAGGAGGGGAGTGTGGTGTAACTCCACCCACCGAAAACACCAATGCAGCTCTCTGTATCGCTATATTATATATATATATATGTGCAGGCATAATTATGGATTGGCTGGAGTATGGCGATGACCACGTCGACTGGTCATTAAGTGCCTGATGAGCCAAGAAAAAAGGGGCTGGGGAGTGGCACAGTAGCCAATGCCAAAGTGGCAGCCACTCTTCTCTAGGCGACCAGCAAGCTGCCCCTGGGCCGCATAAATAATTATTAGCAATTGTCTGCAGGTGCAACAGCAACTTGCAACTCGAAGCAGTAGCTGCAGCAGTAGCAACCTGCTTGGGCCACTCAAATTGCACACTGCAATTTGAGCATTTTTCGCATTTCCCCGCTGCGGCCGCCAAAAACAAAAGACTCAAGCAACGAACTCGACAGGATATACCCCTCGCTCTCGCTCTCTCTTTCTATTTATCTCCCTCTCTCTGTTTTGTGTTAATGCCCCAAATAAGGTTAGGGGGTGGAGGTGGCGGGCCACCCACAGACACCATCTTCAATCCACCAGGTAGCCAAGAAAAACATCAGAAAACCCTTTCGAATGCCGTAAACCACTCAAAAAAGTTCAGAGGAACTGGGGGGGTTTTTGAGGTAGGTAGAAATTATTAACTGACATTTTAATGATGATAATGATGAGGCCCCGTTGACGTTGCCCCATGCAACTGCGTCGGTGGCTAGACATAAAACCCCCCCTCCATTCCCCCCGCTTTCCTCTAAATAAAATACAAACAGGTAAGGCCGAGAGAAAATCTTGGCCAGGTTTGTTGATGCTGCATCGGCGTGATTTTTATCAGCTCAACTCGACTGGCGCCAGCTTCATTTTCAGGCAGCTGCTGTCCCTTCTTTTTGGGCAGAAGCAGCTCCATCTTCCCTCGCTCCCCCGCCCCCTCCCCCAAAAAAAAATAAGAATAAATAAATAAAAGAATTCGAATGGAGGAGTGCATAAAAGCTATGAATTTTAATTGATTTTTTTTTCGCTCTAAACAAAGCCCGGGAATGCCGTAGAAGTTGTAATTCATTTCAGCTTTCGTTGCGCTTGTAAAGATTCCCTTTTTGCTTTTTAACCCGCCTGCTGAAGCAGATGAAGCATGAAAATAAGTTTCGCGCTGCAGTGAGAGAAAATATGGGAAGTTCAGTAGGATTTACTATATCAGAAAAATATATAAAAATTATAGTCAACCAAAAGTATATGACCAAAATTTTACTTATATTTAACAATTTTAAAATATTTTTTACGCTTGTGTTCTTGTCTTTATCATAAACTATAAGTGGTGTTTAAGCTAAAAAATGCAATACATCAGTAAAACTAGATTTTAAACTAATAAATGTAATACATTTCCTCAGCTTAAAACCTACTTTTGCCCTAAACTAAATACATAAGTTTTTAATTCAAAATAAAAGTGCACCTTTAAGTCTTCTGTTATTTTTTTCTGTGTATTTTTCCCCTTTTTCCTTCCCCTTTTTGTGGCTAATTTCCGAGGCACCCACAATTCGCTGCAGCAGGACTCATTGTCAGTTTGGCGAGGCAGCGTCTGTTTGCAACATGCTTAATGTCATGCAACAACAGCAGCAGACGCAGCAGCAACATCAACAGCAACAGCAACAGCAGCAGCAACAACAACAACGCACTGTCACTGTCATGCATCATCATGCATCTTGGCGGAGTTACTTGGAGTCTGCTGTTTGAAAATTATTGCATGTCTCCGGGGCCGCAACTGCAGAGCGAAAAGCCAGAGGAACCTGCAACCTGCCAGAGGAGCAGGCTCCAAAGGAGACGACTCCCAGTGAGTGATGCGATTATCTGCAAGATTCGCTTATCTACGGTGATCCATCAGTCGCAGTCTGCAGTCTCCCGTCTGCTGACTGCAATCCTGTCCAGCCTTTGGCTTTCGTGCAGAAATGCAGATCCACAGAAAAAAAAAAAAAAACAGAGCCAAAGAAATGCGTAGCCTGCGCGGGCGTCCGCCTTATAAATTAGAATGTGAGCTGCGCATGCTCAGGTATCCAAGTATCTGAGGGATACCACTCAGTATTATGTGTGTGTTTTTAATTTACTCTTTATGGCCAGGCTCCCACGGTTGAGCGGCGGAGAGCAGAACTTGACCACCTGAGATGGCTTTTGGCCAGCACCCGCTAGCCAGAAGTTGTTGCCGGTGTTTTTTGCGGTTGCTGCCAGGAAGCTGACTTGGGGCTTGGTTAAAGTAAACCACAGTGGGTTGCCTTCTTCTCTTTTTTTTTTCGTTTTTTTTGTTGACTTTGATTGAAAGTTGACACAGCCAAGCGTTGAAAACCACATCCGTGGAAGGGGCCTACGCAGCAACAGCAGCAACTCTTGCGTCTCTATGCAAATGCAATTAGTTTTTGATTAAGTTGTAGGCTGCCGAAAAAAGCAAGAGAAGCTGCAGATTCGCCAGAGACACTGCAACCGAAGTACACTTAAGTGCTGAGCCAAGCGACAGACCGTTAAATTGTTGCAATTACCATTGCTAGTTGCTGCTGTGCCGCCGCCATATTGCTGGTAAAACAATATGCAAACTCGGTGTGTTAGAGTGGGTGTGTGTGTTGTTGTTTCTTTTTTTTGCAGCAGCAGCTATGTGGCAGCTACTGTTGCTTGGGGCAATTGTTTAGCACGCGCTGCTAATTTTGTGCCGCTGCTGTGTTGCTGTGTGTTGCTGGCGATGTTGCTGCCAGGCAGCAATTTCTACGTTGCATGCACGCCTCGTTGATTGTAGTAGGTGGTCACCCTCACATCGCAATCATTTTAATAACAGCTCTTTCGTTGGTCAGTCCGAGGTTCTATGTAATTTATGCCCACAGCTAATTGCATTTGAAAGTTTAACTGCAAAAGTCAAACGGTTTTCAGATATGTGCATGCCATAACCCAAAAAAGCTTGGTAGCCGGGGTAAAAAAAAAATACAAAATAAATTCCCACCGCAGCTCTAGAAAAAAACGAAAAATCTGAAATAGATTTTCCCTGTTGCGTGGCTCATTTGAAATTCGAATTTCAATAACGCACACAAAACGATGTTTATCTGGGGTTTCGGCTCGGATCGGTTTGGTTTTTTTTTTTGTTTTCTGTGAGTAGGCGTTGTCGAATAGTTTCCAGTGCCTTGGTCCAGTTCACGCACAAAGATTCAGATTTAAGATTGAAGAGGCCAAGGTTCGTGAGATAAGAGTGGCTTCTGGCTGTTGTTGTGGGTGCGATAAGCGGGAGCCAGAGTTTATCAGCGGACCCAAGTTGCGCAGCTGTGTGGCACAGATACAGATACTCACTCGCATATTGTGCCAACAAGTTTCGGTTTTTGGTTTTGGTTTTGGGCCGCATATTTGTTAAGGTCGCACAGCTGCTGGAAGTTGAAAACTGGTCACATTGCTGCTGGTCATATGCCACATGCAACCGCAACATGCCATGTTGCATGCCTAATTGCAACAGGTGGCAATCGACAGCAGCAACATGTCGCAGCTATGCCAGCAACATGCCAATTAGCAGACAAAACAAAGCACCCGCACTATTTAGATATAAAACCCCCTCCGCCCCTCCCCCTTCTCCCTATTCAATGCAAATCATGTTGACAATTCTTGTTATAAATTGCTTAAATAATTAGCAAATAATAGCCGCAATTGTCAGGTCCAAAAAAGGCAAAAGCCGCAATTGCAGTCTGACATTTGTTGGTTTTTATCGCCGTTGTTGCGGCTACTGTATTAATGAGCACAAAAAAAATAAGTATAATTTATTGAAGGCAATTCTAAACGCTTCCCCCATCAATCAGTTGCCTTCGATTGCCAATCAGGCCGCGGCTTTTTTTTGATATCTCTTTCTATAGCCTTTTTTTCGGTGACCGACACGCCCCCTTAATTTGCCCGGATTTGTGGGTGGTAACCACTGTTTTTCGGGGGGGCTAATTTTGTAACTAATATTAAAACACTTCAATCAATCAATGTCTTTCGGGTGTGTGCGTAGGGGGGAGGAGGGGAGGGGGAACCCCTAGCCAGGTAGCTCTACTAAAAGTTGGCTTAAATTTTCATTAAATCGCCAAGCAGTCTGAGAACCAGGCGATCGGTATTTGCCTAGACCATTAAATATTTATGAGCTCTCGGCTCGAGAGTTTTGTCCAACCTGCCAACTATTTCCAGCTTGATTAATGATCTCCAAGCTCGGCTGTGTTCTGCTTTAATTACCGCAGCAATTAGCAGCTGAAAAATCCGCTCTGCCAGCGAGCTGCCACAATTTGTCATAGCACATAGCAGCATCATCGCCAAAATCTTCAATCTCTAACCGCTTTCCACCCCGTTCTTTTCTTCTGTTTTTCCAGACTATGCCAGATCTGCAGCGATTGGACTCGGCCACCATCTAAATCAAAGAGGTAAGTTTAGCGCACCAGCTGCTGCAGCTTGTGCCTCATTTTATTTTTTTTTGGCTGCGAATGACAACCCTGGCCTGGCTGCTTTATTTTGCGATCGCAGCTCCACCTGGCCGGGCAACCTTCACAAAAAGCTGAAACGCATTTTGAATTTAATGCGTACGACGAGGACAACTCATGGGCGGGGGTGTGGGTGGGTTGGGGGGTGGTGTGCGTTGGATCCCCTTCGGATCGATCATGAGCGACCACTGGCTGTCCAACTTTGCCACAAGTCAGTGTCGTCTCTTGGCGAACTCGCATTTCGCCAATAATAAGAGATGGGATCAGAGAAGGCTATTCGATATTTCTTATTGACCATACTATTTGGTTTTGTTAAAAAACTTTTTTTTTAAATATAACTCTTTTTTTTAATCAAGAGCTATAGCATATCTAAGCATATTTCGCCATTAATAAGAGATAAGATCAGAGAAGGCTGTTCAATATTTTTCAATAACTATATTATTTGTTTTTGTAAAAAAATTTTTTTTTTAATAATTTTTAATTTTTTTAATCAAGAGCCTTAGCATATCTAAAAATTTTAATATTTACAAATCGAAAAATAAAAAACTATTGCGATTTGTTTATTAAAATATAAACGGATTACAAATCCAAAATATTTTAAAATATTGGTTTATTACAATGATTACATAGAAATAGATTGACCTCAAAAGGAATCATAGAGTAATACCGATAGCTTTTTGATATATTATTGTAATGTAAAAAAAAATTATTAAAAAAATTTTGTTGTTGCATGGAACCAGTAAACTATTGACTCCTTCGTGAGTGCTTGCAGGTATCGTGTTGCAGGTGCACCACTGGCGGGGGCGTCGTCTGAGCGACCTTCCCGCCAAAGGAATCGCCGAGTGCCATTGAAAGCGAGTGAGGCTGAGCACTGTAGACAGATTGCCAAGTTTCGTCTCGTACGAGATCGACCAAAAAAACATAAAAAATAAAGCGATTCGAGCCAGTGCAGCTGGACCTGGCCACTTTTGAAGATTAATTGCTCGCGACAGTCGCAAGTCGCAAGTCGCGAGTTTGCGAGGCTGCCCCCTGAAGCTGCTGCCTGATTTTGATGCTGCCTCCAAAAAGCTGGCAACCTGACCATAAAAATCGGCATTTGTTGGCAACACACAGACAAAAAATTAACATGACGTCAACGACAAGCGCACCAACAACAGCAAACAGCTCAATTGGCCGATTTTGACCGACCTTTGCGATTTGGCCTGGCCAGTGGCGATTAAGGCCAGAATAGCGTTCCACATGTCCGAATGTTCCAATGTCTCGATGCTGGCTAAGAAATCCATCGGCTGGCGAGAGATTTCTTTCGACACGCCCAACGTTTTGCTGCATGGATTTTTTGGGTGTCATCACATTCGCTTTTCAGTTTTTGCGTTCGACTTTTTCCACAATTTTTTGCTGGCTTTTCTCGCTTTTTTTTTGGCGCGTTTTCGGTTTTTGGATTTTTAAGTCTCGTCGGTGGTGGCGCTTTATTCATAAATCCGTCAGCTGCATGAAATACAGCTTAATTAACAAAAAGCCGAGAGAAAAGCCGCAGCAGCACGCAGCGGAGGCGCAGTTCCATTCATTCGAGCGCCCATTGAACAACGCCGGAGTCTTTTGGTTTTTGGTCTTATTTGTGCGCCCGAAATTTGTCACCACAATATCAACATAATTAAGTTGAGATTTGGATTCAGTGCGGTTGGTTCGAGAAAACGGTACGCAAACGGTAAATACACGGGGCCATAAACAAACGAGTCAAATTACAAGCGAATGAAATCAATTAACACCTGCCGGTGATGAGTTCCACCATCGATCAACTGATCTTTCACACGAGCTGCATAAATTAGCTGTCCCCACAGCATAATTGTGTGTTCTTTCAAGCGATCCAGCAAAATTAACATATCAAACACAGCATAATTGCGCTTTAATCGCGCCAGGTTCCCCCCGAAAATAATAAAACGAGTAAGAAAATCAAAGACTGAAACTGTGATCGGACACAGAAAATTAATGACTTTCAAGGGCTCCCCGTCGAGTTGACTGAAAAGAAAAATACCCAAGGAAGCTTAAGGTCATCTCTTGTCACTGCTGAGTTTTCTTCTGTTTGAAATTTTCAATGACAACAAAGATTATTTTAAATGGTATTCAAAAACCTGCACTTTATAAAGGAACGTTTGCTTTGGAGCTTAAGAAAAATTGTTTAAATTCTTACATGATAATAGTATGATAAACGGCATGAAATTATCATGTTAACTGCGTTATCTCGAATTTAGTGCCCTTTTATTTCCTAAGAAAACAAAACGAACATTCTTTAGGTGTAGCTTTGAAGTTCACTTGTAATAAGAGCTATACTTAATAAATAATAATAATTTTAAAAGAATAATAATCACAAGAATAATGCTTCTGGGTTCCTTAATATTTAAAATGTTTTACAATAATTATATTTTAACTTCGATATCTTGTTGAAAGCGTAAAAATAATTTATGAAACGTAAATAATAATATTTTTGAAAAAATAATAATCACAAGAATAATGTTTCTGGGTTCCTTAATATTTAAAATGTTTATGTTTAAAATATTATGTTTAAAATATTTAAAATAATTGAATTTTAATTTCAATATCTTGTTGAATGGATAAAAATTATTTAATTTATTTCCTATCTGTTTCTTAACATTAATCAAATGGTGTAACTAATAATTTGTTTTCCTTAATTTTGATCTTAACAATTTATTTCATTTGCTAATGCGTTTTGCAAAGGTATTGCACGCAAATGGCCTTGCGACCCACAAGCCCCCTTAAACCCTCTGAGAACCCGGAAAAACCCCCCCAAGCCTTCAATTAAAAACCCCTTTCTGGACTCGTGGACTCGTATAATGCAAAGTGACAGCAACGGCTTGTAGGCAATCAAAATGCGAGCCGAAACACGCGCAAGTTTGCAATTGTGGATGGTTGTTGTTGCTGGTTGTTGTTGTTATCGTTCCTTGTAGTGTTGTTATTATTATTTTAGTTGTTGTTGTCGACTCCACCTGGCAACGCAAATTGAAAGAACTTGTTGCAGTCAACGGGGCAAAAATTGAATGCTTTGCACTTGCCTTTGCGGTCACAAACAGCACTCAGAAAGTCAGAAAACTCAGATATTGCCTGGTGGTGTTGGTGGTGCACTTTTGGTGGTTACAACTATTGATTACATGCTAAGGAACGGCTCACATTACCGGAGCAGTGGACCCCAGATGCGGGTGTTGCTGGCGTGCCAGCAACATGGCTATATGTTGCTGCCGTGCCCCCACCAACAGCAATGTCCCAAGCAGCAACATCGAACGGAGTCTGTAATTAATGCGGGAGCCTGCGCTGACATTTTGAGAAATTTATTGCACCAAGTGGATTTATAGTCTGCGACATTTTATAGTTTTGGCCCCAGAGAGCCTGCGGTTAACCTGGCCGAGAAGAAGGAGAAGAAATCGAGCTGAAAAAACACCAGCGATCAGGATCGAGGATCGGGGATCGATGTGGGAACTGGGAACTTGGAACTGGGAACTGGTAACTGGTAACCCTTTAATGCGCATCATGTGCGCGCGCGCATATATAATTTGGCTACCCGATAATGATCGGCCTTTGGCATAATAAATTTTACACAAAGCGAAAAAGAAACGGGAAAATGTGCCGCAAAACGCTCAGAAACTTTCAACTTGTTGCTGTTGCTGTTGCTGATGCCGCTGTTGCTGCGTATCCCGCTTGCAATCTATATTAATTTTTATACGAATACCGAACCGAACTGAACCGAGTCACGCTGCTGCACTTTCATAAATGCCAAAAATTTCACCTGCTTTCACAAAGATGATTAAAAATAAATATGCAGCAGTGCAGTTCTCGACTCGGCCGAAGGTTGATATACGATAATTTCGTTCTGATAATGTGACTGGCGGAGGATGAGACAGGCTGGATCTGTGACCCAGTTGAGGGCTCTTTCGGTTTTTTTCGGGGCTTCGTGTTGAGCCAAAAAGCGTTTAAGGCTAATTGCAAAGATCACTTTTGACTGATAAACGAACTGGAGAGGGCCGGACGGATATGGAGAAGGTGGAGTGGGCGGACTCGGAGGTTTGCCCTCTTGGCGCTGACCCAAAACCTTTTGCCCAAAAACCTCTACGTTAAGTCAGAAGAAACTAAAAAAAACTGAAATGGGAGAGAAAAAAACAAATACGCGGCATTCGAAGCTCGTGCTTAATGATGATTGCTGGCCCCCAGAGGTTAAAATTAAATAATTTCCGACTCCAAATGAAGTCGAAGCGCGCTTCTCTAGTCTAGGCTAAAATGGCGGGCGTTCCAGCCATTCATTTTAGCCCGGCCACATATATAATTAGCATGAAATGAGCCAGGGATCTTTAGTTTGGTCAAAGAAACCATTTTTCTGAACACTTTTCGCTTGTGGCGATTTTTGGTTTTTTTTTAGTTTGCTAGTTCCTACATTTCATTTCGTTTTCAGCTCTTTTCTGCTATTTATGTTAATGCAGCGATTAAGCAGCAAATCGTGTGCCTAATTATGATAAGCATTTGCCAAAGTCAGAATTGAAAACCGAAAGAGGAAGTGCCACATTACAGAATGTGACCAGGTTGCTGTAATTTATTTATTTAACCTGTTTTGAATTTAAGCACATTAAAGTGCAAGTACCACATTAATTAGTGTGACCAATATGCAGTTCATTGCAATTATGTGGGGTGACCAGTTTGAATATTTATTATTTTTTGATTAAACCCTTTTCATTTCTTATGAATGCAAATGAAATTATATGCCTAATAAGGATTAACGTTTATTTTAAGACCATGAATATTAAAACTATGGAGTTCCTCTTCAAAGAGTGTGACCAACCTGCTGCAATTCCGTGCGTAAACCTGTTTTGTATTTATTTTTATTTCGCTACAACCCCTTCCCAATTTTTGTGGCCCTTTTAGGCGCCTCAGTTAGTCGGCAA